TTTTAACATTTTTTGACCGTTTTTCAGAAAAACAACATTTTTTGACGAATTTTGAAAATTTAACATTTTTCGGCATTATTTTAACATTTTTTCGTTGAAAATTTAGAGTTTTTCAAGTTTTTCGTGCTCTTTTTGGCCACATCAATGCATGAAACTAACTGAAAAAAAACGATACAATTTTTAATCAATAAATGAAGTGCTGAGTGTGTGTTCTGATTGCTCTGGCCACGCGCTGCGACGAAAGCAAAAAATATTTACACAAAGTCTTGCAAGAATAAACATGTTTTGTTCGCAGCGCATCGCCAGAACATCGAAATCGCACATTCAGCCTTAGCTCGAAATATAGAGCACATTATATCTGAAATTGTGTTTACGTTATATTGTGATTTGGAGCTGGTGTGCGATTTATTGGAAAAGTAAAATGACAAATGAACCGCTAATCGTTTCATATGTATATGTTGTGCACATTCAATGCTGACTACGAATTATATGCGATCTTTTTTAATGACTGCAATTAGTATTGGTTGAAAAGAGATGTAAATTCCGATCAACAAGAGACACAATTGTTGATCAAAAAGAGATATGACAACCAATAAAAAGAGATGCAACTATCGATTAACAAATGAGCCGTCAATAATTATTTGATTTGATTGTTGAAAATTAGTCGCACTTTGATTCTCAATCATGTCAACGACAAATCTAGTTGCTCGTGCCAAAGAGTTGATTGGCAATTCTAATACGCTCGAAATCCAAGTGAACAACGACGAAGTAAAAATATTTTGCAAAATTTGTCCCAAAACATTCAAAATTGATGCCGGTCACTTGAAATCCCAATTCAATGGACATGTGAATTCAGCAAAGCACGTACAAGCAAAAGCAAAAAATATTTCGCAGCCATCGATATCAACTGCTATTTCACAAGCAAGTGCAAACACCGCAAAAACGGATAGTTTTGCTGTGGACATCACGACGACATTTGTTGAAGCCGGAATACCGATATGGAAATTACGTCACCCAAGCATCAAAAAGTTCTTTTTACGACGGTACAACGAGGTTTTGCCAAGTTCGACTACTTTCTACAACAAAATTGATGTAATCTATGAATCCACATTGCAAAAAATCAAGAATTACATTGGTGACCACCCAATCTACTTCATTGTCGACGAAACAACGGATGTTTGCAAACGCAGTGTAATGAATGTTTTGGTCGGGAAAATTGACGGAACGTTTTCAAAGCCAGTTCTATTGAGCACAGTATTTGTCGAATCAGCAAACAATACAACAGTTCAACAAACCGTCAACAAAGCATGCGTGCTGCTCTATGGATCTGACATTCCTTACGAAAGAGTATGGTTTTTACTCTCCGATCAAGCGGCATACATGATCAAAGCTGGCCGAGGTTTAAAGCAATTATTTCCTAACTTAAAGCACGTATCTTGCTTGATTCATGGTTTAAATCGGGTCTGTGAATTTATAAAGGATAAATTCGACGAAGTAAACAAATTGATTGCTGGTATGAAAGCAGTTTTGGTCAAATCAAACCATCGCCGTCAACTTTTCCGTGAAATCTGCAAATTGCCGTTGCCTCCGGATGTTATTGAAATTCGATGGAACAGTTGGCTCAACGCAGCGTTTTACTACGCAAACAATATATCTGCGATTAGGCCGTTTGTAGCAGCTTTGAAAGACAAAAAATCGAAATTAGTTGCCAAATTGAAGAAAGCAATCGCAAATACCAATCTCGATACAGCGTTGTTTGAAGTTCACAAATACAAATTTTTGGCTGAAGCCATAACTGCGTTGGAAAAACAAGGATTGTCGGTGCCAGAGCAAATGGCGATTTTGTCATCCGTTAAAACCAAACTACGCGGTGATGTTTTGGAAAAATTGAACCGTGTTTTGGCAAAAAATCTAGACTTGAACTTCTTCGAAAAGATGCCAGCTGACCAGAAAATCAAATGCGAATATGTACCAATGGTGTCTATTGCAGTTGAACAGTCATTTTCAATGTACAAGTACATTCTATCTGACAGACGGCAGTCATTGACAGAATCGAATCTGGCCAAGCTAAATGTCATTCAATATAATAATTTCATTGATGATTTCCAAGAATAATGTAATTTTTTTTACATAAATATGCATTTTTCAATAAAACCTACACGCAACGCTAACATTTTGTTGGTTTTTTTGCTCAATTTTAACATTTTCAGCTGATTTTGGTTAACATTTTATTTAACATTTTTTAGTGATTTTTCTTAACATTTTAACAACATTTTTTAGCCTTTTTCCTTAACATTTTTTTGAGGCTCTATTCATAACAAATTCGAAAAGTTACAGACCAAACTAAACTTTATAGCATTTTTTGTATGAAAAATCGTGGAAGAATCATAGCTTGGTCTGTAACTTTTCGAATTTGTTAAGAAATTTGAAATCTATTAAATGGTAATGTGGAAAAAATGTATTTCAATTAAATACGACCATCGGTGGAGTGAATTTTGTCAAACAAATGATAAATTTTCCGATTTTTCGAAAAATTTTGTCATTTTTTGTATGGAAAGTCTTAATTATTTTTCCCGCAGTTTTTGGGCAATTTCATCAATAAATGATATCCATTACCGAAAATAATGAAATTGATAGTCTAGTCCATTTATAAAAACTTCAAATATTCTCATAAACATCATTTCATGAATATTTTTTTGTAAAATAACACAATTAATGGGAAAAAACTGAAATTTCAATGCCGGTCCTAATTAAATTTCTATGACTGTATTTCTTTTGTATTATATACTTTTTATATGAAATTTATCACTTTACAGTTTATTTAATTTTATATTGGTGGATGAAATATTACATTTATTCAATGAAAGCAAAAAGAAAAAAAAATGCAAATTGAAAATGGTATTTTTGAAATTGTTAAATCATACTCAAAAAAGGGAGGAAAATAAATATAGAGTAGCTAACTATTTTTATTATGATTGTAACAATTTTCTTTGAAATAAGAGAGGTATAAAGTAAGTTGACCGATTGACCGATTGAACGTTTGGCACACTTGTGGCCAACCACAAATATGTTATCACACCTTGTAACATCTAGTATATAAGGCCCTTCAATAAAGATCGTCGTGCAGACGTTACTTAAACATCAACCAACACAACTGTACAGCATCGATTGACATTTCAGCGACAGCTCAACAGTTCGGAACATGTGTTCATTTGACGTTTCATTAAGTTTGCCCATTGCAAACATTTACCACAAATTGTGTTGTAAACCATATTTTTAGCACTACATGAAATGTAGAGCTACTAATCTGCTTTTTTTTGTCTAGATACTTTTTGAGTTTTGAAACAAATTATGGTGAATTTGAATTTTATGCTCATATTTTTTATTTAACGACAAATAGGTGCATAATATCTCAAAGCGCCAATCAAATTTTTATTATCAAATGTTGTTTAAAAATTACATTAATTTTTCGTATAATATTTTCTGTGTCTTGAACAGAATTAAAGTGATTTTAGATTCAATGCTCATATTTCTTGTTTTTGAATTTGTTATTTGTACAAACGCATGGATTTGGACTGAATAGCGTATATGTGTGTATTATTTGTATATGATGTGTAGCAGTACAGTGGAACTTAATACAGTGTAAAAATGCATTGTGTCCCTGAAAACAAAAGATGAAAAAAGACGGCACTTACTTATTTTGTGTTCGTTGTTTTATTATGCAGCACCGTTTCAACTATGAAACATATCTGAAGCGGTATGACGAATTAGTGAACGCCGGTGAATGTGTTTTTCTGCACAATGCTTCGTTTTGTCGAGTTCGCGCGTGTTTGTGTGTCTGTATTGAAATCGGTTTCATATTGACAAAGTGTTTATATAGTTAACGAAACCAAAACAAAATTCAAGACGTCAACAGCGATGCGACAGAGAAAGCACATCGATCGCATCGACATTCCATTGGATTCGAATCGGTTGTCGTTGATTTTGTAAACGAGTGTATCATAAACACGCTTTAATATTTAAAACAATAACAGTGACAGAGCGCGAATGCATACTACGCAAGCACTTTTATGCGCTGAAATCATAAAACAGGGTCAAACTAATTTCGTCCTAAAAAACCCAAAATGTGAATAAAATATCCGAAAATGGTACTAAAATTGTCGAAAATTGTACTAAAAAAACCCTAAAAGTGTACTGAAAATACCCTAAATCCGACCTAAATAAATCCATAAATTGTCCTAAATTTCCCCAAAACTGTAATAAAAATCGCCCCCAAAATCGTACTAAATTTATCTAAAACTGACATAAAATTGCCCAAAAATTGTAATAAGATTCAAAAGCCACAAAAATTCTACGAAATATATCAAAATATCGAAAAATAATACACAGTCGTTCAAGGTAATATTTTTATAACCATTATATATTTCATATTTTTATCGTCAAAAATTTTAGATTTTGCAACCGAGATCTTTTTTATTCATTCTTGCTTTTTATATTACTCCTTGTATCGAAACAGTTTGCCTTGAGTCTGCGTGTAATATAATCATAAAAAAAGATGAAAATGCGTCAAAATATGACGATAAATTGAATTCACAATAGATTCACGTAAGTAAATTGAAACGGTTTTGTGGTGTTAAATTTCAAATTGTTGCTTTTTTCACACAAAGTAACCGATAGTCAACCGAGATCTTCTTTTCAACTAAGTTTCCTTCTGTAGGCGATTCAAGAAAGGATGAATCAATGCCAACTTTGCTGTAGAACGTTGTTCTGGATTATATGCCATCAAGTCCTTCAAGAATTGCACCAATTCTGGATCGGCTATCTTTTCATTCAAATCAACTGCGTTGTGGTCTGGGAACTTATTCCAATCGTAAGACGGCCTATTATAAGAAAATAAACGATCAAAGATAAAATTGTGAGAAATCTTAAAGATAAACACACTCTTCATCACTTTCTCTATGTGTTCTCTATTCTTTCAATGCATTTATTATTAATTTGGCATATTCTTCTTATACTTACCAAATTTCTGCGTTCGGTGTCCCAAAAATCTTGAAAATCTCTTTCAACTGGCCTCGTTTCTTATTTTCTATGTCGCCGCTTACTCGTTCAACCAAAATATCTCGTAAATACATTTCCGCCAAAACGCAACCAGTGGACTGTAAGATTAAATACAAATAAATGCAATGAAATGCAGAAATTGACAATTTCTTTTTTCTTCTTGTATAAAGAGATTTACCCATATATCAACAGGATACTGATAGCCTATTCTTAAGAAAATCTCTGGGGCCATGTATGGATAGGTACCACGAACGTCGAATTCGTATTGACTTGGCAAAGTCAACTCAACTGCAGAACCGAGATCACAAATTTTCAATCTGTCCTTGCCATCAACTCGGATATTCGATGGTTTTACATCACGATGAATAATATTCCGTTCGTGAATATGCTTGAGCCCATTCAAAACCATTGACATGACTTTCGCCGTTCGATCCAATGTATACGTGTAATTGGTGCTTTGAATCTCATCGTGCAATGTCTGCGGAAGATATTCAAATACAATGTACATCGATGACTCTGCACATCTACCACCAGCATGCCAATCCGAAACGATATTTCCATGGTCCAATTTTCGAATCATTTGTAGTTCACTATTGCCTGTAGTTGTGTCGCCAAATCGCACGTTTTTAATTATTTTCACAGCAATGGGCAGACGCGATGCTCTGTCGATGCCTTTGTAGACAAGTCCAAATGTCCCTTCCCCGATAATTTCATGGCACTCGAAACGGTTTTCAATTATGTGATGGATTTGGAGCTGCTTTTCGACCGCCTGTTGTTGTGAACTTGAGCACACATCGCTTCTTTCGATCACGGTTGCAACGCTGGTTGGGGTTTTGGTTTCAACGGCGGGTAAAGCAGAAACAGCACGATTTGTGATCACGGATGCAGTACTGGCCGAGTCTACGGCGCCTTTTTCGATCACGGTTGCAATGCTGGTTGGTTTTTTGGTTTCAACAGCAGGAACATCACGTTCTTCAATCACGGTTACAATACTGGCCAAGAGAGAGATGTCGATGCGATTCTTTTGTGACAAAAATTGTGCCCGTTTTTCAAAAAGTAACTGGTTTAGAGCCGAGCTGACGCGCGTTGGATACGTCACTCGCCTCTGAATTAATAGTTCTCGAAAAGAGTGCCACTTTTCGCCGAATTTGTAGAAAAAATCGCCCACATAGCATTCTTTTCCTGCATTGTATTTGTCTTCCACAAGTGCTAACATCGCTGTAATTTCTTTTTCGTGACAAATTTCGTTATAGAGTCTCTTGAATCTTTCGTGAAACCGAAATTTCAATGTTCCATAGAACATGAATTTGATTTCACGAGCCGGATAATCCAATAAAGCGCGATCGGTAATCTTCCGAATGTCCATTGTCTCTCGATTGAAATCTCTTATATCTGATTTGTCCAGTGACGATATGACCTTCACACCTCCTGGTTTCGTAAATTTCACAACACCGCGAGACCAAAATCGATGATACTTGTATTTATAAGCATATTGGTCACCATCTTTTAAGGGTCCAACAAAATCTGCCAGACCATTGGCGTGCTCGTTTAGTCGCGAATAAAATTCAACGGTATCAATTTGTCGAACACAAATTATCAAACTCTTTTTTTTATCATGGCCATGAACAAGACGCACTGGCATCACAGATTCAACGATGACACGGTTCATCGTGAGATCTAATTACTTTTTATGTTATTTCACGATTTTTGATCACGGTTGCAATGCTAGCGAAAGAGATGTTAATGCGGTTCTTTTTTGATGAAAATTCCACACGTTTTTCAAACAGCAGAGGAACTTGCACATTATTGTTTACGTTCTCTCTATTTTCAAACAATAAGAAGTCATTTAGTCTGACAGTCAAGCGTGTGTTATGTGTTGCCCGATGCACACAACATGAGATTTTCGTCTTCATCTTATTTGCCATAGAAATATCTACAATCATCGGCTAAAATTGTAAATTTATCCTAGAAATTTTTTCACAATCATTGGGAGAAATGATGCCTGAATTATATGTGAAAATATTTTCAGGATAAATTTACAATTTTAGCCGATGATTGTAGATATTTCTATGGCAATTGAAACGGAAATATCATGCGAAAATATATTGTACGTAAATACACACTATTTTCTATTTTCAACAGATGACGTGTGTGTGCAGTGTGCACAAACCACAACACACATTGAATTTGTTTTATTTGCATTTAATCGCGTTAATTTGGTTTTGTCAATTTGGTTTTTTAAAAAAACTAAGCGGTGGATTTGTGTCATACTTTGCCCAGATTTAGCCATAAATTACCGCTAAAATATGGCAAACAGCAGATCGTCTAGAAAAATCCGGTT